CAACAGAAGGACGATTATGTTTAGATTGTGGCTTTACAAAATTGTATATTAATTGGGACTCAGCAGGTGCAGCTCGTTATATCGTTAACGCCACTTGTTGGCTTTTAGGAATTGGTAAACATTAGAAATAGAACAAATAGAGATAATAAAATATAAACTTTTTTTTTTATAAACATTCTTTAAACAAAACAGAATTATCAGGATTACTATATTTGATGAAAAAAATACCTCATATATTTCTAAGGATGTGGGTGTAGAAATATCTGCAATAGAACACATCCATCTTTGAATAACAGAATATTGTCTCATGAATATCACTTTGCCAATAAACGGTTGATTTTCAAATATAATTAAAGACTTTTTGTTAATAATAAATCATGAATAAGAATAATAAATGAGTATTTTGTCTGGGGGTGTGGGATTGGGTAAAGGGAATTACGACACTCACACCCACATCCTCAAGATATTGTATGCTGCAGTAAAATAAGAGTGTAGGTCTGTGTGAGAGTCTGAATGAGTTAGGGTATGGTTACGAATGTGGATGCATCTTCTCTTGATCATCGTCCAGATTCACACCCACACCCACACTCTCAGGAAAAAGAAGTGAGAGAGAACAGTTTCCCGAAGTAAAATGAATACTGATATATAAATTGGTGTGAGTTAAGAAAAAAAATAATGTTCTCCTCCGTTAAAATATATCCTGTCCTGATATATGAATTCATGAGAGTTAAGGAAAAAAGTGAGAAAGAATGCCTTCATTAAATAGAATGAATATTGACATATAAAATGATGTATGCTAGAAAATAAAGAAATAAACAATGTCTTTCTCCGTTAGAATTCATCCTGTTCTGACATACGAAGTCTTGAAAGTTAAGAAAGAAATTGAGAGAAAATGCTTGTCTTAAATAAAATTAATACTGATGTATAAAGTGATGTATGATTAAAAAAAATATCCTTGTCAGTGAGGCAAAAACGGAGAAAGCAAATACTTTCTCATATTTTCTTACGTACATGTTCGTATATTATCTTAAAGGCTTCTATATTGAGCGTCGTTTTCTTTGATTCTTATGACATTTTCTGTTTTCGTTTGTGCTTTCGAATGATCATTAATTATAATGATGTATTTACATTGTTATCATATAAACGGAGCGTGTTTTCTTTTTTTTTAATAGAAAAATCTTTTGTTTCAGATAGTTTTTATGTAATATTGAAGTAATTATAGTGTATAAGAGAAAAATTCTATGTAGTGAAAGTCTTTTTGTTCTATCTTTTTTTGAAATCTTTTGGATTTAATTTCATAACGTTGCAAAATTTTGACGAAGGTTTGCGAATTGATAGAAACAACGGAATAAATGTTTATAATGTAATTTATTACCAAAAGAAAAACAAACTCGTTTTTTGTCTTC